TTAAAATGTCAGCTCACTGAAGATGACAAATCAGGGTCCTTGTAAACATTCATGCTATAAAACCGGTTCTGATTTACGCACCTTTTATTATTGTTGCCTGCATAAAAAAATTCTTGTTAACTTTGTCAGAATACTGAAATCTGAACATCTCTTCATTGTGAACACAGAAGCGTTTCATTTTAAAGTGGCAAAGTGCAGAGTTTCTAATAAAATGTAATTTGTAGCCTCTGACTGCAAATGCTTCTGTTTGTGCTAATTCTCATTTAAGTCACTGTAAAACGTGTGATATGTCAGCTTAAACAGCTGCAATAGCAAAGGCTTTACTTTTCATTATGGTATTTTTTTTCCTATAAATGTTTTGGTAAAATTCAAATGCATCAGAAATAATGTTTAACTTTTAACCTCATTATCAAATTATTTTTACTACACTGCCGCAACCTGAGTTAAGTGACTTAAGTAGCATTTAAAAATGGACCATTAAGTTGTTTTAAATAGTTCCAACAAGATATTCTTGGATGCACAATAAAATCTGTTATGCCATCTTTACTGCATTTGGGCAAAAAGGTGGAACAAGTTTTCTATAGGTGGAGCACGATGGTAGAGTGGTGTGTGCTGGTGCTGCCACGGGGCTGGTGCTCCTGCATCCCGCATCCTCACCCTCCGCACTGGCTGCATCCCCGGTTCCCAGCTGGCACGTTACAGTTGCAGCCTCTCATACGTTGACACTGATGGGACAGTGAACGCGAGGCTTTGCAGGATGTCTGGGGAGAGTTTTCTTTCCTTGCTTCCTTATCCTTCACCAAGTAAAAGTTTTCTCCTAATTTGCTTTGGGAACCTGATGCTTTCCCCAAGAAGTACGTGTTTGGTCCTGCCAAATGCCTTAATTGTCACAGAGTTAAAAAGCAGCAGCTGGAGATAATTTACAGACATTCAGGGACATGCCTAAATACTTCATTAGAGGACACCCACTTTATACCTGCACACACCTCTGAGTATGAAATCACCAGTGTCCGTGAGGTACCCTTGCTGTGCAAACAGGAGGATGTGTTTAGCAATTTCTTTCACAGATGTAAATGCGCTACTTGATTTGTGAGTTCTTGCAGCAGAGTGGGATTTTGCTGGGATGTCAGCACACTGTTTTGGGGCGTCTGTGGGCTTTGTGATACAGATTCTTGGACTGCTGGTACAAATGAAGCAAATAAATCTGCTCCTGCTGTTGTTCAAAAGGCTGCTTCCAAGCTTTGCCTCCTACCATTTGGCCCTCTGCTCCCTGCGTGTCCTTTTGCAAGCTCTGCCTTATGAACTACCTTGCGGTTCCTTTGCTGAACCTCTTATGTCCATTTTTATCTCACTGGAGGATCTGAATAATCACACAAAGTGCTACTGAGAGCTTTTTCCAGTTCTTCTCTGCTGATGGTAACGCATCCAGGGCTCATATTGACAGATTAATGTGGGGCTGGCTGCAGCAGGGCCCGTTGCTGGAGGCTGCTCCCAAGCACACCGCCTGTGATCCTGCACTGTCTGACTCCGAACTTGTTTGATCGTTGTAAGGGTTCACATGCTTGACTTGAGTCTTTTTTGTGTTTGTGTTTCTCTCAGGCAAATGGGGCTGAAAAAAGAAACTGGAGGGGCCGAAGTGGAGCATTCTCATGAAATAAAAATAGATGCAAAACACAAAGCAGCATTTGTGCTTGAATTTGGAGGGTTGAGGGGAAAGACAGCACTGTTCAGCTGCTATAGATGGCTTGGTTTTCTTGAGCTGGAGAAATGCTTTGATTCTATTTTACTGTTAATTAACCACTCTGAGAAAAAAAACATTTGTAAATTAGGCGGGAGACCGCTTCAGGACTCTGTGCTGACTTCTGCCAAGTCTGGCAATCGCCTCCAGGTTCTCATTCACAGGTGTAAATGCTCTGGAGACCAACTCAAGGGTAGGTCACTGCTGCAGAGCTGATGGACTGCCTGCTACCAAAACCTTGCCAGATAAAACCAATACACCTGGCAAGAAATCCTCATCCTTCTTCTGGCAGGAACATTCTTGAGGGATTGTCTCTGTCAGCTTGTCTTTAACTATGGATGTTCAATTTTTTATGCATATATTGACATGGAAACCCACAAACAGTTCTGCTGGTGGAAATATCTGGCTCTTTTCATTGAGAAAAGCGGTACAAACTGGAGCTGGCTCATACTTTGGTTAAAGATCACCTGAGATATTTCAGTAGGGTGATCACTTGGAAAGTTTGTACTTGCAGTTTTGCATACGGTGAGGATAGCAGCTTCTGCCTATGTGTAGCTGTAAATGGCCAAACCTTATTCAAAAGCCATGTTGTAGTTGGAAAAGTTGACTGCATCCTTTAGAGGACCGTTTGTGTTTGAGGTCAGTTATTTTTACTTTTCCATTTTGTTCTAGTTGAATATTTTTACTTGCTCTCAGAACAATAGCTCCCACCACACTAAAGCCTTCGCCCAGTGCAGCAGCTTTTCATACCTCCTGCCATAGCAATCCATGCAGCACCCAAGGGTCTCATCTCCTTAGTTTAGCTAAATATAGACTTACCAAGCTCTTGTATGGAGCCTAATTCATACCTTTACTAAGCTTAACAAGCTGAATCCAGTGGCATAAGCAGCTGTTGCAGATTTATGGGTAGAGGAATCCTCTGCATTCTCTTATGCTTGCTCTAATCTGCCAGGGTTTGTTTAAATTTTCTACTGCTTAATCTGGTATTTTACTGCCTGTACGTACTCAGCTCTGAGGACTGGATTGTTGTGATGATTTTTCCTGTCTGCAAACTTACTCTTCAGTTTTCTGTGCTGTCTGCCCAGGGAGACACAATATTTTTTCTATTTTTTCAAGTAACTTTAATTAAAAAAAATCAGCCAAATCTTCAGTTGCTTTTATACAATTCAGAACTGATGTCCTATTTGCCAGCCTGTTCACAGGCTGAACTCACAAAAATGAGAGTTTCTCTGGCTTTGGTTACAAAGCTTCTCTCACCCTGTACTCCTGGGTTTGGAGGGAGCTGGGTCCCATACGCACACCGGCAGCTTCAGCAGGATGAAAATATCCACTAAGGTTTCTGGCAGAATCTTATTTTGGCAAAACATTTACAACAGTCATAAAAAAGATTTGTTTCCATATCTTAGCTAGTTTGGCTTTTTCCAGCTTGGTTGCAGACTCAGTATGGGTTTTGTTGATGCTTTTTTTCTAAAAGCAGGTAGATCTGTGGTTTGTGATCACGACGCCTACAGTTACACATCATTGTGTGCCTTGGATTCAAAAGTGGTTTCAAACCCACCTTTGTAAACAGAGAGGGTCATAGTGTATTTTAACAGTTAATCCTCCTTGGTTATGCCCCAAGCATACATGTGTTTGCCTGTGTGCTCACATACGTCGTGTGCATGTACACACGTGCACACCCCCCACCACAGTCATCAAACGAGCTCTGAGCTCCGTGGAGCCAGGTTCACAGCAGTGGTGACTTGGAAGGCTTAAAAAAGCATAGAAGAGGTGGGCATGCATAATCATACGTTGTCCTTCCTTTATCCATGCACCTTCCAGCAACCAGGAGTTGGTTGCATCTAGACCATCGCATTTAGTAATTACCAGTGTATCCAACTTACATTAATTTCTCTAAATATTTAACTTGTTTGTAATTTTGGACACTGTGGTATTGTCCTAAAGAGCTTGAACACAGTGAGAATGGTTTGAGAGATTTTCTAAGTTGCTTGACAGAACTGACCCACCCTGTTGCCTTGCCTGTGTGAGAGGAGCAAACATCCTCTCCTCTGCTTCCTATGGGTCAGAACCAGCAGCTCAAAACTCTGAATTCATCTTCCTGCACTAATTGCCACTTTGCACTGCCAGCGGGATGCAAGGAGGCTGAACACTGCCACATGCATGGAGATGGCATTGCTGTGACACGTGCCCAAACCCCTTCTCTGGCAGAAGAGACGAATTGATGTTTTCTGCTAACTGAAGAGCACTGAGAAGGCATTTCAGGCTGTGAAGTAGAGATACTCCAAGAGTGCCCTTATTGCAGTATGATCTAGCCTTGTTTGTGCAGGTCGTTAAGGTGAAGCTACCTTTGTTGCCTCTGGTGGATCCTCTTGCCTAGTTGAGCTGTCATGGAGCCATGACACGAGGGCTCTATCTCACAGCACCCAGCTGAAACTCTTATTTCTGTGTTGCAAATGCACCTTGCAGCCTGGGCCACTTCAGACTGAGAAAGCAGGAGCAGAATCCTGTTTGGCTTTCCCACAGTCAGAAGGAACAGTGCCATTCTGGAGTTTGATTATTTGGCTGGCTGCTCGGTGCTTCAACTGTGCAATAACTTCTTATCCTGGGTGCTTCATTCCTTTGCAGTTTAGTTTTGTTTTTCCCCAGCCCTGTGTTCTGCAATTGGATTGCATTCACACGGCATGCCTGCAGGCTGCACTGTATTGTTGCATATGTTGTGCCATCCAAAATAATCTTGGTGGGTGTTCTAAGCAGCTGTCATGATACAACCCATCTTCTTGGCAGCTAGAAGTGCTGTGAGCTATGCATCTTCCTTTCTTCCTCATCTTCGTATATTGTAATAGAGATGGAGCCTATAGAAGTCTTGCATATGGTACGTCTTGCCAAGATTACTCTGGTACCTAGCAGCTGTCCGTACATGCTTCGTAAAGAAGATGTGTTCTGTTAATTAGGTTTATGTGGGATGGTGTTCGGAGAACTCTATGTAGATACAAAATGGTCTCCCTAGGAAAAAAAGTTCTTCGGGAGTCTCTGCCACATTTTAATGGGGGTCCACAGTGAGCTGGTAGTGGGCTTCTGACTGACACCCTTCCACATCAGGAATGTAGGCTGCAAAAAATCCAGTCTGACTGTACTAGTGTAAAAAGCACCTAGGCTTTGCTTTGATATAGCTGTCAGCAGTCAGCATAACTGCATAGTAAATGCACAGCTTATTGGGGTTTGGGTTTTTTTAATTTTTAATTGCGTGTTTGCATGTTTACAGCTGGACTCAAGCTAATGTAATATTTGCCTTCATATATTCCAGCTGTGTGGGTGTTGAAGAAGAAGAGGCACCAGACATCGACATCTATCATTGTCCAAATTGTGAGAAAACCCACGGGAAGTCTACTTGTAAGTATACTTGCACAACTGGTCCTCCAATACATAGCAGATTCTATATGTTTAAACAAAAGAAGCTTTTTTCTTTTTTCATTACAAAAAGACACACCTAAATATCACGTCATGAATGTTAGAATTCCAACCATGAGGTGAAAAAAGATGTTAGGGGGAGAAAGTTGGATTGTGGAGGTTTGGATGCAGCTCCCTGCCTGGCCTCAGGCAGTGTGTATGAGCTAATGCAAGGCACCTTACCTGGACAGCTTCGGTCCCCAGTCCTCGTGATGAAAATGATGCTTCCTTCCTCGCACGGAATTAAGAATTGTGAAGTTAGTACTGTGGGCTAGAAAAGTCATACAGAGACAGCTAGTTCTAATAAGGTGAGTTTTGGAAACTACATGGTTTTTTTTGTCTTTGGATGAGAAAAGTAAGAAACAGTATGTTATGCTTGGCCTGGATATAAAACTGTAGTGATTTCAGTGGCAGTCTGAATTGTAGGATGCACTGAGGGTGCCAATTCTTGCAGTTCTTTCACAGGAAAAAGTTCTCCTTAGTAAAAGTGACAGTTGATCTCAGTGGGAGTTTTGTCTGGGAAAGAACTGTAGGTTGTGTTTTCTTTGGTTGGATTAATTCACAAATTCTTTCTATTATACAATGCAGGGAAAAAAAAGAAAAGAAACCAATCCCTGTAAAAGATGAAATGCTTTACTTGAAAGCCATTTATTGTAAATAAGCAACAACGATGCAGAGGTTCTTGCTGCTTTGCAACCTTGCAGCAACACACAGAGGAAGAGCCCTGTGCTCATCTCCCAGGAGCTGAACGAATCATAATGTTCCTTTTTTAGTGCAAAATAAGGGGTCACTGGAAACTGACTTCTGTTGTGTTAAAGTTCAGTAATGTTAAAAACAAGCAATTTCTGCACTGCCTTAAAAGTTAAAGTTTAAAAAATTTCTAGGGGGGGAAGGAGAGGAGTCTGAAGTGTTCATTTGTAGGGCAAAAATGGGAATCATTTTTCCGCTTGGAGTTTTTCAAAATCAAGTGTGAACTGGAAACCTGAATGACCTGCAGCTGTTCCTGTCTCCCAGATGGTCTGCCAACAACTTTGGCCCAAACAGGGCACCCACAAATTGGGCAAGCTGGCAAAAAACCCCTTGGGAGGCTTGTTCTGAAAGACTTAACGAAATAAATATGTCCCTACAAAATGTTTTGATTTAAAACAGTCAGCCTTTCTAATGTTTTGTTGGAAGATTTCTGACGAACGCACTGGAAATTGGTCAAACAAATAACCACAAATCATCTTCAAGTGAACAATTTGGTATTAGAATGGGTTGTGTTGAAAATGGGGGTAATGACTGCAGAGACTCCCAGGCTGTTATTGACCCAGTATAGAAGCAGCAGCAGAGGATTTCTAGCCACTGTGATTTTTGTATAACATTGAGATGTGTCTGGTGCTTTGATTTCTTTTACTTTGCTTTGAATTAAGATGATGAAAGGCACCTACTTCTCAGTGCAAGGGGAAAAAAATCAGAATCAACAGAAGTCTATAATCAGGAATTAAATATAAATTCTATAAAAACTGTGGTGGATAATCCTAGAAATCAAGAAATGCCAGTTTTGATAAAAAGATTACAAGTTTAATATACCAGTTAAGATGAGGAGAGTTGAATTGACAGCAATCTTCTGATGCTTTGAGAAGGTTTTTGGCTTTCTAATTCTTCTTATCCAAATAAAAATCTGACTTGGCAGTAGGTCCCTCAGTCTGCATCGTGCAGCACAGCAGAAAGTGTTTCTGGAGCGCTGTTGCATGTTCTAGTCTTATCAATGTATGAGGTTATTAGTGAGGTAGGAATACAGAACATTATATAATTCTGCAGTATGGCAATACAACTTTATTTTCTACCTTCAAATGCACTGCAGAAAATTTAATGACATACGAGACCAATCATCAAAGTAGTCAAGTGTAAAAATTTTGGGAACACTTAAACATTAGTTATTGATAACCTTACCTTGAGTTTTGATGAAATGCCAGATCACAGGTTTTCCAGCTGCATAGCTGTTTTCACCATTAACTCACAGAATCGTGGTTCCTGTTGAAAAATGAGGCTGCTATCCTGTAGCCCCTCCTTGTGGAGTGCAATAGGCCAGGGAAGTTAAAAGACTGATTAAATGAAGGCAGGAACAGCTTGGCTTAATGCATTCATTGTCAGGCATTTGTATGCAGGGCGTCCTGCTGCACAGCACTTGTGCTCTGCTGGGACTTCTGTGAGATGATCACTTTCATTTGTTTATTAACTGTTACAATATATGTTTAAACTAGTTATCTAGCAGTATCAGTTTTGAAATAAATGAGTCAGTGTTGTTCCAGAGCCAGGAGTTCACTGGTAGGATTTAATTATTGCAAGATTAGCAAAGGGAAACACAGACACCAATTGTCTGTTATGCAACTCGTCTGGATTTAAAAATATATGTGTATTTCTGGAGCACACGTTCCACAATATATGTTTTCCAGATGTCAAACTTAAAAATAATTTTCCTGTTCTTACATTTTTCCACTTTACCAATGTGGCTTAGTGGCTACTATTTCAGAAGATTGCTTCCTGTCATATGACATTTTAAGCCATTTTGGTTTAATGAAATTTGTAGGGACTCCTCTTTGGGAAAAAAAATATACACATTCACACAAAATTCTCTGACATCATTTAAATAAAATGTAAAGTGCTTTGTTTAGGCGGACTTGACTCATTTTCATAACATGATCTGAAATGTTCGGTTTGATTGCTGTCTCATTTGCAGCGGTGAAAATCAGGAGAAATTCTTTGGAATCAGTGAAGTTACATAAATGCAAGCAAACCAAAGTCAGGCTGAAACTGTTTTTAAGTAGTTACAACCTGTAATATAAATCAATAGAGAACTAACAGGGTGCTTCTAGGTATCCCTTCTTCATAAATACACTTGAAATAATGTAAGTATACCTTTGAAGTCGAGAATTATTTGTTTTGAGATACAGTTTTCACAAAAATACATTCCCTTTTTCCTCTGGAGGGTTTTCTGTAGAAGGAGCAGGTTATACTTTCCAACAGTCAGATTTGGATCGGAAAGTTCTGTAGAAAAAGAAATCTGTAATCATTTAAGAAAAAGTGGCCTTTCCGGCCAAAGCTAGTATTTGCTGCACATGTTAATGGGCCTTTAATCCTTACTGTGGTGTTCATGGTAAAGACGAAACATAAAGAGAATGGCTGAAAACGGGCCAAATGTTGATTGTTTGATGTAGTATAATGGATTACAGCAGCTGGCTTGCTGCTGTCCAGGAGATAGCACCTCCTGGGAACCGTTCTGGCGGCAGAGGCATCTTTGTTGCCCCTGCATGAGAGGTGGATGTGAGAAGTGGATGTTTGTCGGTGGTCAGTGCTGAGGGAAATAGCTCCCTGGTGCTTTTTGAAGAGTTGCAGTGAATTTCTTAATTCAGCACTGATTTACCGCTTTTATTTCTCAATGCTCCATGCTATCTGAAGTGTAATAAAAGGACACACTAATATGATAAGCTCTTTCATTTTCACTGTAGCAAGTGACACCTGTTTCACTGGGACTTGTGTGAAGAGTCCCAGTGTTGGTTCGGATCTGCTGCGAGGGGGAGGAGGCAGTTGTTGGAAAGGGAAGGAGAGGAGGAAGGTTTGGCATTCATGTAGGTCTTGTTTCCTTTGTTACCAGGAGCATTGAATTAATACACTAAGCCTGAGAGTCATTAAGATAAAGAACTAGCAGCTTTAATGAATATATCCAGCTAGGCTGGAGAGCTGCATGGATCTAATAAAACCAAGATGCTTTGTGCAAAACCTGGGATGGATTCATTGGGAGATATCTTACAGGGTTGTGGTTGGGAAAACAAAGTTAGCTTTTTCCGAACCTCATGTCTTATAGCTGTGGCCTCCAGATTCCTTTCTTAATGAAAAAGTATGTGGATCTGTGTGTGTGTGCGTGTGTGTGTGCATGTGCAAAGAGTGAGGAAATAGTGCCCTCCATGCATGGTTACTGAGGAGTCTGGTTCCTTCCCTAGCTATTTTGAACAGTAATAAAAGCCTGAGATCTTGATTTGGGGGTAAAATACTGAGTTTCATGATATAAAACAGGAGTGAAAAATAAAAGAAAGTTGTGACATACGAAAATTCTACTAATGGAGGCTTGAAATGGTATGAATATGCACTTGGGACAAAAACAATTTACTACCAAAATAAGCACGTCCAGACAGACTGTGGAAGTAGGAACAGCTGAGAGAGAGAGTGCTGACTAAGAGAAAAAGCTGGACCAGTTTTTCTTGCTCTGCACTATCTGGCTGTCAAAGAGGCAAGGCAGAACTACATTGACATTTGACTGACTTCTTTGTGCTTATTCCAGCTGACCCTTCTTCCATGATTAATTTGCCTATATCTCTCACCCACTGGGAGCACAGTTGAGGGCCCTTCAGTCTGCTGCCATCAACTTAAGGCCTAAGCCTGGCTCACCTTTCAAAACCTAGGAATAAGAGGAGTTCTAAAAATTGCATTTGTGGTGCCCTTGCATCTTTTTTTTTTCTTTTCCTTTTCCTTTTATGTGCATGCTGTGTGCAGGGCATAATTCAAAGCCCATCAAAAATTGATATCGAATCTGCCACTGCTGGACAGACCTTTAGACTAACGTAATTCATGACAAATTTATTCATAAAGGTCTATACTGCATATTAAGAAGGCAGAAAAGTGGCTTTCTAAGAGTTTTATGATAAGGATTAAATGTGTAGTCTGGCAAGTACAAAACGTCCAGAGCCTGTGTTTGCATAAAGCCTGTGGTAGCTGTGCAGCTCAGTAATTATCCGTCTGGTTGCCCTTATGTTACAAAATGAACACTGTTCAGTATGTAATAGATCTTCAGGCTACAGTATAATTGTCTAATGGTGAATTGAGAGCAATATTAAAATTTGCAGTGCAGCATAGTGCGGGTTCCGTCTGCTCACGTAAGAAATGAAATGAAGATTTGTCCTTCCTTCAGATGTCTTGTCTTCTACTTAACATACGGTACTGTCCAAATCATTCTTTTTCAGTGAAAAAGAAAAGAAATTGGCATAAACACGATACTGGACAGACAACAGAGGTCAAACCTGTACAGAACGGGAGCCAAGTCTTTATAAAGGAACTTCGAAGTCGTACTTTTCCAAGGTAGGTTGTTCAGCAGCATGCATGGACAGGGCTGTTGAGGTTAAAGCATATGCAGTCGGTTTCCTACAAAGCTGATGATGATCCCTGCTGAAAGCATTATATAGTACAGAGCAATGAAGTTTAAATGAGTGCTGTTTTATTGCAGATGTCCCAGGCTCTTCCCTTTTTCATATTTGTGCAGCCGTATTAAAATCTACTCTTGACTGAGCCCAGTTCCTGTGGGTTTCCATAGAAGCTAGTATTTGCGAAGACAAGAACAAGAATGTGTTTGGCCCCTTCAACATTCACTTGCATAAGAAACCAACCAATTTATTGCATAGAATTATCCAGTTCTCAAAAATACTAATGGTTTTGCTGAATTCTGTCTCCATCTTGAAAAGAAGAACAATGACATCCTCAGTTGCTACAGTGACAAAGGCTCTCTTATTTAGTGTAATGAATAGTGCTAATTGTTAGGTGACATGTTCCACACTTTATTAGGCTGCTTCACAGCCATTTGTAAGAGTGGTGATTTTCTTCTGGTTCTTTAATGTAGGCCTTAGCCAAATAAATCCTTAATTATTAAAGACTGATTATTTTAGAAGAATCCTTGGAGACTGGTAAAGTGTACTTGGTAAACACAAAACTTCTTCCTTTTTATGGAGAATTTAATTTCACATTTAATTTCAGATACTGGTCTTAGGCTGGTTAAGGAAAGGCTGAAAATACCTCTGCAAAGTGTTTGCAGCAGTTACAGATGTGTTTCACTGAACTCAGGACCAAGTATTTTTACTTGCTCAGCTATTTTTATTTGGGCCTCCTAGATTTTTATGTTAGCCTTTTGGCGTTTTTTTTGTATACAGAGCAATTTGACAGGTTGCAAAGCTAATTTCTGAAAAAAGGTTTAAGGCCTAGGCAGAATGATTTCAGTAACCTTGGATGGACTCTGAGATTGCACTCACATGTGCAAGATCTCATGAGTCTCTCTCAAGTTGTAAAAAAAGTACTGTCCCTCATTCTTTTGGTTTCTCACATAAATGTGCACGTAAGAAAACCCTGCTGCCACATTAAAGTTTCTGAGAAAGAAGGGTCTGTAGCCAAAAGGAGTGCCTCCAAGATTGAGGCCCCTGACATCTACACTTGCACCGTTAGTAAAACAAAGTCTTGTTGAGAAATTTTTTCTTCCGAAGAAAATGAAAGAAATCTGCAGATGTTCACAGAACAAAACCCAACATTCGTCAGTCAGAATGTGATGAACAGAAAAAGAGGGTCTCGGTTCAGAGACAGAAACATCATTGCTGATTCACAGCACACGACAGTAAATTATAACCCATGGTTAGTCCCTTGGTGAGGCTCGGATCAAAAGGAACAGTGAAGAGAGCAAAAAGGTAAAAAATATAATTCATGTCATTCCGCTCCTGAATGTTTAATACCAAAATAGCATTAGAGTAGTAATAATAATTAAATTGATGGTTCAGGTACTTCAGTGTAGGTGCCAGACTCTCCATTTTGGCACAATCATTACTAGATGCTCTGGTACTCATCTCTCTTTAAGACTATGTGTAAGTTTTTGTGGCACATATAGAAGCAAATCAGACTTGAAAAAACAAGTATGCGAGATGTATATGGGCACTGTAAAGTTAAGTGCAGAGGTTTAGTGGTAAATCATGGTCTGCTTCTTGCTCCTTGTTCTTTGCACATTGCTGGCGTAAGGTACCAGTGCTCACATAAATGAGGAACACTCCTTTTAATTAATTATGAATTAAACTTGCCTCCTGATTAGCCATTGCTGATGCACTGTAGCTGGGGTGACTCAGAAATAGGCTGGGTTTCTACAGCTTATCCCTCTTTGTGTCCAGCCATCTTATTCTCCCTGGGGTTCAAACCTCCTGCCTAGCATATCCCTGCCAGGGCGGCCTGAGCAGGGTCCGGGCGAGGGGTTCGCCCTGCGTGGCGGGATCGAAGGAGGAGCCCCCGCAGCAAAGCATGTGGGGGAGCCCCCACAGTTAAAGGGTGTTGGGGGCTCTGCCACAGGTTGGGCTTCATGGGGCAGTGAAGGCAGTGAGGCCCGAGTGTGCCGGCCGCCATGGCGGTGCTCACAGTCACATCCCCTTTCCAGCTGGTTTTTGGTGCCGTATGAAGACGTGAGCTGTAGTTCAGAACTGCTGCAGGAGAGGGCAGTCATGTATTAGCCTTACCCGCTCGGGGAGGTAGCGCTTTTTGGGGTGAACACTCAAAGTTTTGCTGTTCCCCCGCCTGCAGCCGTGACCCTGGCCTGCCAGACGGTTTCTGGAGCCCAGCTGACAAACTACACATGGTGGCAGGGCGCTTTTGGGACTGATGGGTGTTCATATACAGACACTTTTCACTCCAAATTCAAAGTGGTTTGCTCTTGAAAAGATCTAGAAATTGGACTTGAATTCCCCTTCAGAGTTGTTGGTGCACATAGCTGGTCGTCTGATGAAGCTGCCCTTTCCTTAGTCCCTTTGACGCCCTCACAGCAACTTGAAAATGATTTGCCGAATATTTCCTGAGCAATTTATTTGACTACTTAAAAATGATTTGCAAAGTATTTCCTGGACAATTTATTTGAGATTATGTAACGTTTTAAATCTTGCCTTCTTTAGAGTAGAACATTTAACATTTTTTTAACATTGATGGGTGGTAACTCGACAGATCCCTATAGTTGAGGAAAAAGGTTTTTCTCCATAAGCTGTTATTTTAGGAGTTTCCAGCAGTTGGTGCATGAGGCTTGAGTGAATTGATTCCGGATGATTTTAGTGTGCCCTGCATGCTTTGCAATAAATGGCTCTTTGGATTTTGTCTTATGCAGCTAATTTGCATATAATTGCTTATTCATAACTTTCAGTAGTGAAATGCAGAAGATGCCAAACTCTGTGTGGAAGCACCTCACCATTGAATCTGTGTTTACTTTTTCAGTGCTGAAGATATAGTCATGAAAGTACCAGGCAGCCAACTAACAACAGAGTATTTGGAAGAAAATGGCTTTGCAGAGCCCATCCTTGTTCCAAAGAAGGATGGCCTGGGTTTGTCTGTACCCGCATCCACCTTCTATGTCAGCGATGTTGAAAACTACGTCGGTGGGTATCTGGCAAGCAGGTGGCATTGTGCTGTTTGGAGCTCAGCTGCTTTTTAAAAAAATATATGTATTATTTGTATAAAAAATGTAAAATATATTGTAAAATATTGTCTGTCTTGAGCTATGCTGACTTCAGTATTTGTTACATAGTGGTAGCTTGTAACTAGCAATTAATTCTCTCTTGGTTCTTGTACCAACTTGTGTATCTTACAGTGAGCCCGAGCCAGACTGCATTGTACTCCATAGCACCTTATTAAAAGAAACAGTCATAGTAGTATCAAAAAATTGTTTCTTCAGGCCAGGTCTTAATTGATTACTGCCATCTCACTTTGTATTGAAGGAATTACTAGACTGAGACTCCCACTCTGCAAAAGCAGTACATTTTTTAACACTGCTGTCAGTGAGAGCTATTTGCATTGCTGGTAGTCATTTGGATTCATTTTAGCATCCTCCTGTCTCTAACCTGAGCAGGGTATTGTACTACATCTTCTCACAAGTCACATCATGTCATCCCACCTTGGAAGACATACCTTGCTCGGGAGCCATGGAAGTGCTCTGAAGTTGCTTGTCTTGTCTCTGCATCCTTCTTGATTTAGCATGTGTGATCTTGGCTCTTGTCCTCTCTTGCTCTGTCCCTCCTCTGTGTGCTTTTCTGTCTGATTCACCCTCCTTCCAGTCTTCTGGCAAGGCGCCATCATTTTGGAGCCATGAGTCCAGCTCCAGTGTATCTGTCTGTTTTTCGTGGTCCCTTTATCTCCTTATACAGTCTGCTAACCACCTCCTCCTCCTGCACTTTCTTTACCAGGCCGTTGACCTGTTCCCCAAACTGGAGGGTGCTATTACCAACCACTGGTGTTCTTGACTGTATCTATTGCTTTTTCAGTGATTGTGTGCAGTGAGATAACTATGAATAAAGGAGAATTCAAGACCCCTGATTTTATTGTTCTCTCTATCCTGTTGCTTCTACAGGAAACATATTTTCCTTGCCCACCTGCTACACTTAGATTTTCTTGTATGACCTAGGTGCCTTTTTTGCATCTGCTGGCTTTCTCTCAGCCTCTAGCTGAAATAATCCACTCTACCAACAAAACAGTTAGTGAAAAGGTGGCGGGAACAACATGGGTTGTTTAATCTGGAGCTGGCACTAGATCTGAAAGTGAATGGAACAAATACGGGCTGGTTTAACCTCCATGGGGTTAGTTCATGTGAACGGGATTTCCCAGGCAGGGATTTATCTCGCTGTTTTGTAGTTTATCACATAGGACCTAGAATATCTTTTAGAAACAATCTAAAGTAAGTGGCAGAGGACAAAACATCACAACCAAGACTGCCAAATACATCATTACTGTTCTGGCATTTCATGAAAAAATAAATTGATTTTTTTTTTTCCCTCTCCTAATGTGAAAAAAAGCTATGAATGAAATGCTGGGAGAGGAAAAATAAGGCCAATTAAAACTGAAGGGAAGAAAGACTGCAGAGATGCTTTTTCTTGCAGAAAGGATAAGAGAGTGTGCTTAGAAATGGACACTCTTTATAAAGCTCTGACTTTCTCCATGTGTTCTCTGGTGTGCCCAGTCTTAAATTCCACTAATTGACTAATACTGTTACTGTTAACACTGGAGATTTGTATCCAACAGGGTCTGTCAGAGGAAATGTATAAGTACTAACAGCTTACTCTCTGTACTCTAATACAGAGGGGATGGATTTCTGATAGGTGTAATTTTGGGTAAAGTAACAAAAAGTCAATTTTTTTGTGGCATACCTGAAGTATCATGTTAAAAAATGGGAATTTTCCTGCAAAACTCCTCAGTTATGGATTTCATAAGCTTTAATAAATAATAAAAATTTAAAATAGAGCATAAGAGAACTTACAATTTTGGAAAATCAGTTTGACAAGATATCCTGTACAATATTACACTCTGTCTACAATCACAAGACTTTTACAGTATAGTGAGTAGGGCTTATTCTGTGGATATGCAGGTATTTGCATATAATTTTCACCACGCACGTAAAATCCATAATGAAATTAATAGATTCAAAATAACATTAATCCTTTAAAGATAAAAACTACAGAAATAATTATGTCAGGGGCATGAATACAGAAGTGCCATTTTATGCATATACGTTTTATGTATATACACTTTTTTTTACATATATGTATATGTGTATACATGCATAAACAACAAGGAAGATACAAAGGCTAAGAAGATCAGAAAATCAGAAGATTGAGATGTTTCTCAAAATGTTAACTCGCCCCCAAGCATACAAAATGGGGCAAGTCAGGCTGCCCTTCAATCTCTTTTTTTTATTGAATTAATTTGTAGGACCAGAGAGGAGTGTTGATGTCACTGATGTCACCAAACAGAAAGACTGCAAAATGAAGCTCAAGGAATTTGTGGATTACTACTACAGTACAAACAGGAAAAGGGTCCTCAATGTGACCAACCTGGAGTTCTCGGACACAAGGTAAGAGTCCAGCCTGCTGCATCACACAGGGTCTGGATACATGGCGGGGTTCAGCTGGGGGAGTTTGGACAGCCTCTGCCTTCTCTGCTACTTCCCTCTTTAGGACGTACTGCTTTAACCATGGGGTAGCGGCTTCCTGTTGCTCTGACTCCCCACTGCATTGTCCATATGCAGCCAGTTCAGGCAAAGCACAGAAATGAAAGTGCTATTTGCTGTATAAGGAGAATAGTACATACTGGACTAAATGGGCCACCATTTGTCATGGTAATTCACATCTGCATATCATCAGCATTCATGTGCCATCAGCATTCACATATGAGAACAGAACATTCTGGCACCTTTCAGTTTTATTTTAACTCTAGTAGTATAGGTATAGTTAATTCATTGCAACTAGATACTAGTGACATAGAACTGGAACATAACTTGATGCTCCAGGACCAAAGTGTCTGTCCTGTCCTAGTAGTGAATGATAACGTAGTATGTTCCTAGTATGATCTTAGGTAATTAGATACAGCCTGACAAATACTGGTAAGACCAAAGAAAGAAGGACAAAGATGACCACAGAGGTATGATAAAACTGTGTGTGGGTTCATGAGAAAACATGGACATTAAGGAGTCTTATTGTTTAATATTCTGTGTTATTTTTCTGGTGAGATGGGAATCCTGATGGACCTAAGACAACAACAGACCTTCTTCCAGCTTAAGGTGATCATGGTCATGACCATGGTCACCTCAGAGCATTCTTTTTTAAAATGCGTTCTACAGCAGTGAGCATCCTACTTGTATAACACTGGTTTGAGTGCATCATATATTGCTTACTGAAATCTTCCATTTGAAGTAGTGGAGAGTAAGTAAATAGATGAGGTGTGGCTCTAGGCATAGCATAACATGTCACTGGATGTCCTTGAATGAAAGTAAGTTTGAAATTATTACAATTTTGTAATCCTATCCATGTGTTTTAGTTTTAGTTTCAGTGCTTTTGCAAGTTAGCCTGTAATCTGTATGACAGCAGTTCAGAACTACAGTGATGCTGACTTCTCAACAGAAAGTTGGGGGGTGTGACGGTACAGATTAGCTCAGAATTTGAGGCTGAGTTGCTTTAGTGCTGCAGTGAGCCAGAGGTAATGGTGCTGGCTGTGTGAATATCACCAATCCTCAATGACAGGAAGCCTGCTATTCTCCTCATGTTTTATATTATATGTTTTATATATAGGATAATTAGCTGATATAAATGCCTAAGAGTTCAAGTTATTGCCTTGTGCTTTATATAGCTGTATTCATCACCTGAGCTGTGCTTTTATTCCAGAAGTAGTCAGATGCTTCTATAATGTATTGAACTTCATGCAACTGTGCAGATCATTTTTACAGTTCTTGTAGTCATTCTGGGTAGCTAGTACTTCTAGAAGGGAAGTGTCAGCAAAAGAAAAGATTCTTCTATATACAAACGCTACACAGAAGATGAGGAGTGTCAACATAAAGAATGGGGTTTTTGGGGAGCGTTCCATTTTAGCAAGAAGACTTCAAGTAGCCTTAAAAAAGAAGGCTGATGAATAATTACAAGCTCTTTTTTTTAAACCCATTACCTTTAGCCCTGGAGTTAGTCTTTTAGTAGTGCACACCCATTTCTACAGAAAGCATCTCTAGTAATTACAGGCTTCAAAGATTACCAGTATCTTCAGTTGAGATTTTTTTTAGCTTTCTGCCATTATCCTAGAATAATGGGAGGTCTTTTGTTCTGAAGGACTGCTGGAGCTGTCACTCATATGCTGCTAATTTAGACATTAACTAGCAAATATTTTATTTCTTAACATAGACAGTGACACTTTAATTGAATGCACTGCTCCTTCTTTCTCTGCCATTTTAAATGGAGCTATTGTTATCAGTGTTTGACAGTGAGCATAAGTGACACATGGGAGCATTTAATTTTAGTTTGAAGTGCAGAGCAGATACTCTTACTGACGTGATATTTTAGAGTGTCCAACAGTGAACCTCCACCCCCTGCAAATATTAGTCTAAATTTTGGACTATTTAAATATAAAATTTAGCACATTCTGGGGTGAAACACTTTTAATACCTGTTTATCATACCACTACATCGTCTTAGCTGTGATTTATAGTATATATTATATAT